GTGAATGTAAGATTCTCTGAGTGTTTCCTGATAAATGTGGTACATTTCGCACACAGCAGGTGTTTTTATCTCCAGGTAAACAGAAACGTCACACACCTTCACTCTGACAGCAGCTTAACGAACTCTGTGTTTGTATGAGAGAGAAAGTGCCTCTTTAGGAGACTCTTCACTGTAACTGGGTCAAATTTTAAAGAGTTTTGCTTTTAGATGAGTATTTTAATAAAATAACTCTGAAAAATCACTGAAACCTGTCGTTATTTACGCCTGTATTAAAGGAGGAGCTCAGCCAGGCATGCTAACGTTGCTAACAGTGACGGAAGATCTTCAATAATCATAATCAGGGTCACCGTTAGCGTTACTGCTACTGAGCGCTGATCGGTTAGCGTTACTGCTACTGAGCGCTGATCGGTTAGCGTTACTGCTACTGAGCGCTGATCGGTTAGCGTTACTGCTACTGAGCGCTGATCGGTTAGCTTTACTGCTACCGAGCGCTGATCGGTTAGCTTTACTGCTACTGAGCGCTGATCGGTTAGCGTTACTGCTACTGAGCGCTGATCGGTTAGCGTTACTGCTACTGAGCGCTGATCGGTTAGCGTTACTGCTACTGAGCGCTGATCGGTTAGCTTTACTGCTACTGAGCGCTGATCGGTTAGCGTTACTGCTACTGAGCGCTGATTGGTTAGCGTTACTGCTACTGAGCGCTGATCGGTTAGCGTTACTGCTACTATTTCAGCAGCCGTATTTTATTTCACCGACATAAACACAACAAACCCAAACCAGCGCTACGCTAAGCTGGCAACTTTCCAGGCCTTCATCACTTCAGTTCCTCGGTCAGGGTCAGGGTCAGGGTCAGGGTCAGGGTCTCTCTCTCTCTCTCTCTCTCTCTCTCTCTCTCTCTCTCTCTCTCTCTCTCTCTCTTTTTAAAGGCGCTCGCGCTGCCACCCACATCAACATCAGCTGCCTCTCATTAGGGCAGCGTGAGCGTCCGAGCCGAGAGGGAACGAGAGCTCGCTGCTCCGCCTCCCCGTCGCCGCCCCCAGCTGGCAGCTCGGCCGCCCAGATCGAACGTAAAGTCTAGTAAAGCAGCCTCGCTGCGGAACAGGCGACGGTGCCCAGACGGCGGAGCTCGGTACTCGATTCTTGCCCTCGTGCCTCTTTTCGCCGGCACCGTCCTCGGAGTTCGGGCTTTGCACTCCGTCCCCCTCCACTCGCGGCTCACTCCCCGCCGTCCCCCGCCGGGGTTCGTCGCCGCTCGATGTTCGGTCCCCGCCTTCCGGCGGGCTCTCTCAGCCGCCGTCGGGGCCCGGGGGGCGGGGCCCCGTGGGGCGGGCGCACGCACGCCACAGGGACACACACACACACACACACACACACACGTGTATATATATATATATATATATATATATATATATATATATATATATATATATATACACACAGTAATTGTGAAGTTGCAAATTTTATATTATTATTACTGTAATTCGCACTATATTACCCTTTTTATTATTATTATTATTATTATTTTATATTATTATAATTATCGTTGCTGTAATACAGTCTCTTTAACGCCAGTGTAGTTGCTCCCGGAGATCTGCAGGGGGCGCTGTGGGCTCTGAGCGTCTTTTCTCTGTGCTTTTATTTACCACTGAACGCTTCCGGGTCTTTTATTTTTTATTTTTTCAGCGCTCTCCCGCTTTTTGCACGAGCAGCGTTTTTTCCCGCCGTTACAATATTAATTATTATCATTAATAACAATATCAGGGGCGTTATTATTTACCGAGGCGCGCGCAGAGCGAGCGCGCCGTGCACGCGGACCGAGTGGCTGCGCGCGCTCCGCCGGGTCTGCGAGCGGAGAGGTTTGATTAGCGGAGCTGAGAGGAATGAACCCAGGTAGGGTTATAAACCCCTCCGAACCGGGTTGAACACGGACAGTACACCGTCTATAAGCGCTCATAAGGGTTATTATAGCCGCCGGTCGTCGTGGTTCAGACCGCGAGGCTGAGTTTGTCTTCCTGTCTGAAAGAATCTGACTGGAATTTTCCGCCCCACCTTAAATGGTGCGGCAGTAACGCTATGGCGGCTCTGGCCTCCGGCGCCATAACACGACTGCCGCACCATTTAAGGTGGGACGGAAAATTCCAGTCAGAATCTGGCGAACTGGAAAGTTCAGCCTCGTAAAGCGGAAAACTGGAATGAGAAGCGAGTTTAAGCCTCGGTTTGATCATTTTTAGCCGGTTTTTGAGGTCAGTGAGTGTCTGATTACGAGCTTAAATGCAGGATGAAGATTAGACTGGTGCTAATTTTAGTCTCGGCTAAACTCAGTGAAACCGTTAACGTTAGTTTTTGGAAAATGTGTGTAGTCACGCTTAAAACTGGACGGTCAGAAGTATTGAATGGTTTTTCTTCGTGATACAGACAATCCAGACGTAGCTGACGCCTAACCTCACAATCCAGATGTAGTGGATGACTGTTTAACGTATTTGATGTGTAATCCAGGTGTGCTTAATGATGCCTAATTTGTTTTTTTGTTGTTGTTTTTTTATATAATCCAGATGTGTTTAATTAAGCCTAATTGGGTTTTTGGGAAGCCGAATGCGATTCTCAGGCAGACGTTAGTGTATTTCCAGCTGTGCTGAAGCTCCTTCAGGGGTGGCAGAGCTGATCAGGTTTAGGTGAAGATCTAGAAACTGTGAGAGGTTAATGGCCGTGTGTGCGGTGCGGATTCTCGTGGTCCTGGTTTTGCGGTGAGCCGTGGTGCCGTAGAGCTGTTTTTATAGTGAAGTATGTAAATAAAGACTCAACAATGCGTATTTAGTGTAAACTGTGTTCATGTTTGGTTCATCAGTGTTTGTTTGTGTTTATTTCTCTGCAGTTCTGTTTTCCTCGTGAAGCCGCGGATCCTGCGCAGGTCATGCAGCGCGGTCAGGGTCAGGGGCAGGCCGTCCGGCGGCGCCGAGCGGAGCACTCGGACACGCTCAAGCCGCCGAAACCCAAACAGGTACGCTCAGCCTCAGGTGAGCACAGGCCGGCCGGGCCGGTGAAAACGGTCAAAGCGGACAAAGGGGCCACCGGGCAGTGCCGCCTGTGCCACGGTCACTTCTCCACCCGCAGGCTGCGGCGCGTCTTCGGGAAGCCCCCGGACTCGGAGCAGTTCTGCCGAGACTTCCAGCGTCTCCTGGGCGTCCCGCTGCTCCGCGACCCGTCATTGTCCCAGTTCATCTGTAGGACCTGCTACGCCCAGTTCTATAAGTGCCTCGCCGTCCTGACCAACTTCAGAGCGCGAGTGAACCTCATGCCCAACTCCACCATCACAGACAGGTGAACACCTCAGTAACACACCACACTGACCACAGCGTCGCTGAGTTATCAGGGACACGCGGTGAACAGTGGCGGGATATATCTGACTTTTCTGACTTAAAGTTAAAACTGCAGCTCTTACCATATAAAATCACAGCTTTTTGTGATTTCAAAATAAAAATGATTGTTCAGCCCAACGCAGAGATATCAGGAGCGGAACGTGGAACGGACGTGTTCTTTTTCGTACGTAAAGGGAGAACAAATGACGCTAATCTGGCTAATATGCGTTTTATTTTATGCATTCTAATCTGATCTATGAGCTCCTAGTCTGGAAATTAGCTCTCTGAACTCTGTGACTGTGATGAGCACAGCAACACACGACAAGCAGAGCAGCGAAAATAAACCTCTGCTGTGTTTATTAGGAAAACCTTTGTTTCAGAACTTCTGCATCGTCTGCAGTGTTCTTTATCATTCAGGGACGTCAGTCTGTAGTCGGACAAGTGAGCTGATCTTCAGCCGCTCAGCACAGTTTACTCACCATAACAGCTGTTCTTCCTCCTCAGCCAGCTCTTCCTCTTCCTCAGCCCCTCTCTGCAGCTGTAGCTTCAGTCCCTGAGAACGGAAAAAAATCTCTGTGTAAAGAATCAAACCGATATTTACAAAGAAAAAGCTCCACTAAACAGTGAACAGACAGTATTTTAAACTGGTCTCTCTCTACTGAAGATCCAGCGTGTTCACACAGCTAGCCCGCTAGCTAAGCTAGCTAACTTTAGCTTCACGTGATGAGTTACAGACGCAGCCGGTCAGGTCATGTTAGAGCAGCGAACCACCAGATTTAACCACAGGAACCATTTACAGACCTACAGACACAAACATGTTACACTAATACAACAACTAATCAAAATCAATCAAATCACTGAGAAGGACACATGATGCCAGGATGCTGCCTTCAGATTTGGTCAAAATAAGGAACCTTAAAATGCTTAGACAGCTGCCTCCTGATTGGACAGCAGTGTTAGAGTAATTGGATTGGAAAAGTGGACGAGAGTTTACATGATTAGCTGAAGTGAGCGTTTCAACACCGAACCTGTTTCTCCAGTATCTCCGTAAGTTTATTCCTGTGTTCTTGATGAAGGTCCTAAGAAAAAGTCTGCGTCAGATTCATGACGTGTTCTTAAAGCGCAGAACTGTTCTACCTTTGTGCTCTTGAGTGTGAGTAGATTCTGTTCTTACCTGAGAACAAATCCCACATAAGAGAGCACTGGAGAGTCAGAGTCTTCGTCAAAACTGCGTCAGTGGGTTTAAGAAAGAATTTCTTCTTAAGAACAGCTGGAGAACGAGACCCGGCGTTCTTCTGAAACATTTGCTGCTGTTGGAACGTTTTTCATTTTTTGACATAATTTGAAAAATACCTGTTGATCTTTACATTGTGTGTAAATTTCATGATGAATGGACCAAAATAAACGACCCAAAATGACTTGGATAAAAAGTCTGGTTCCACTGACTTACATTAAAAGTAAAACGTTTTTTTTTCCTTCTGTAATATTATCATTTTGGAGATACGAGGTTTTGTTCCGACAGCAGCGATATGTAAACAACTGATGTTACTTTTGAAAGTAGTGGCCTAAATAATAACACAGTAAGAGGTGAGGATAATTCAGTCTGTAATACAAGTTTAGAAACTTATTTATTCATTTATTCATTTATTTATTTATTTTTGTGGCTGTGTGTCTCTGATTTTGTTTGATCATCGGGTCTCATTCACCAGCTTTTCTTAAGAAGACGGTGTAATCAGACATTTATCCAAGTCATTTTGGGCCGTTTCTTTTGTTCCATTCATCATGAAATTTACACACAATGTAAAGAACAACAAACATTTTCAAATTATGTCAAAAACTGAAAAACGAGGTTTTGTTCTAACAGCAGCAAAATTCTTCAGAAGCACGTTGGGCCTCGTTCTCCAGCCGTTCTTAAGAAGAAATTTCTTCTTAACCCCACTTACGCAGTTTTGACCAAGATTCTGACTTTTTCTTAGGATCTTTCTCAAGAGCACACTTAGGAACAAACTCAGGAGGACGTTGGAGAATCGGGGCTGGTGTTTAGGTGACGTTGGGTTACTGCATTAAAATATCTGCAGTTTATTCCTTTTACTGCGTTTGTAATTCTAAAATAATAAACGTTATATTTCTCTAATGATAATCAAGATTTAGTCCCTATTTGTACATCTTATTAATGTTCATGTATCAACAGTGGCAGATATGTTCATAAAGAATATCAGATATCAGCGTCAGCCAGCTGTTCCCATATCGGTCATCTCTAATCAATACCTACCTTTTGACCTTATTGATTATTTAGTTATGTAATACTGTATTACTAATTATTTGTGTAGGTGGTCTGTAGGTCTGTCTTTATTCATTCTGCATCTGAAGCTGCTTTTCTAGAGAGATGCTCATCTGGAGCTCAGCAGTATAACAGCATATATCGTTATCGTGATTAATTATCACAGTACAGTACAGTCTGCTTTTCTGATCATATCCTGTTTATCATCAGTGCTGGTAGAAACTGACCGACTGCATGTTTCATTATAACAAGAGTAAAATTAGTCAGTTTAACTGGATTTAGTGACAAATACTGAATGAAAATCACTGTGTTCACAGTTTTTATAGTATTTTTTAAACGTAGCTCTGCTGGATCTTTATTCTCTGTTCCAGCTGATCAAACGTCTGAAAAATAAACATTGTTACATAATGTGTCATGAAATTTTCTTAAGATATTATAATATTATATTTGCCACATCGTCACGTCTTATTATTTACTGTGTGCTGCCAGTGATGATTAACACTAATACTGATTCTTCATGAAACATCCTTCATTCTCTAACAGTAGACACTTCTGTATCACTCTAACGTTCTTAATGTACTTATTTACTGTAAGCGTTTATTTTATTTTCAGCAGACCCACAAAATGGCCTTCATCAAAAGAAGACAAGAACCGAGCACGTAAGTCTGAGAGAGAATCCTCAGATTATTGATGGATTAGTTCAGAAAAAATCTGGTTTAGAAATTAAACTTATGTGGTTTCTGTCTCTGCGGCCCCATTCACAGCTGACGTTAAAGGGGAATTCCACCAGTATTTCAGTAATTCAGAATTTGGTGAGATGCAATCAGAGAGATTGAGTGGTTTGGTGTGAAGTGGTTCAGATGTCTTTACAGTGGTGGTGATAGGAACCAGGGGTCGCCATGACTACAACACAAATATAGACATTTTATTTACTATCCAGAACCACCAGTGAACCTACACGAGTCTTCTGAGTTTATAAGGAATGTTGATGATGGAAAATAGTGGAAAATCTGAAATAATAAGTTTTCTTTGGGACTATTTTGCCTCACAGCGCCCTGCATGTATCCCTCCACCATGAATGGAGTTTAAGTTCTCTAAACTATCATAAAACAGTGTCTCAGTCATCAGGCAGTGAATTCATAACCATTTCATGTAGGAACTTTCTGTGAGGGAGCTTTTAGAGGTGGACGTCTGGTTCCTATCACCACCACTGTGAACAGTTCTGACTCGGTACGTTTATCTAGAACAGAGCGTTTCACACCAAACCACTCTGAACCTCTCTGAACGACTCTGAATGACTCTGTTTACATCTGAAATATCGAATTATGCAACAAATTTGGATGAATTTGGTTGAATTATAGGTTAATGAACCATCCTGGGTTCAGGTGTGAATGGGGTCCAGTGTATCTCGTCATGTTTTCATGTTGCTGCTGAAGAACGTCATTCTGTGCCTCATAGCGCTTCACAACCGACAGCGGCATGCAGCCATGAAAACGTTGCCATGGTTACAGCATCACCAGCGAAAAGAGATGATTATCAGATTAGGTCAATGGCCTAGCAACACCTTAGCATCCACCTGAATACCATGGCAACGGCCTAGCAGCACCTTGGCAACCCCCTGAATATCATGGCAACGGCCTAGCAACACCCTAGCAGCCACGTGAATGCCATGGCAACGGCCTAGCAACACCTTAGCAACCACCTGAATGCCATGGCACCAGCCTAGCAACACCTTAGCAACCATCTGAATACCACGCACTTTAGCAACACCTTAGCAACCACCTGAATGCCATGGCACCAGCCTAGCAACACCTTAGCAACCATCTGAATACCACGCACCTTAGCAACACCTTAGCAACCACCTGAATGCCATGGCGCGGCCTAGCAACACCTTAGCAACCACCTGAATACCATGGCAACAGCCTAGCAGCACCTTAGCAACCACCTGAATACCATGGCAACAGCCTAGCAGCACCTTAGCAACCACCTGAATACCATGGCAACAGCCTAGCAACACCTTAGCAACCACCTGAATACCATGGCAACACTTTAGCAACCATCTGAATACCATGGCAACAGCCTAGCAACACCTTAGCAATCACCTGGAATACCTGATGTACACGACTCACACCAAAAAAGCCTGTGTAGCTCAGAATGTTTAACTAGTTTTTTCTGCTTAATAACGACCACAACCAATGTAATTAATGAAATAAGGTATTTAGTGTCTCCACACATTCAGGGCATAAACTAAATCATAAGACTGCATCATATTGAGCGGACATAGACCAGTTTCTCTGACAGGTGAACGAGGAGCGGGAAACAGAAAACCCGGAGCGGAGTTGGAGCGGAGCGACTACAGAGACGCTCTGAGTGAGGAGCAGAAACGTGTCGCTGCGCTCGGTTACTCCGGTCTGAGAGCCTCTGAATGAGTTAATATTGTGCAGTTCAGTGCGTTTTATCGATGGGTTGCTGGTGTAATGGACGGTGTCTGGAGTGAGTGAGTATTTCTGATGTGTTTGTCTCTCAGGTGTTCAGATCCAGGGTAGGATTCCCTCACCTGTCCAGTCTGAGGACAGTGACCTGTCAGACAGGTGAGATATCACACACTCAGAGCTCACTCAGGACACTGAGTGCGGCGATCAGTCTGTAACCTCTTCATCGTCTCTTCAGTAGTCTCTCCAGCGATGAGGACGACGATGACGACGACGATGATGACGACGATGATGAGGACAAGAGGAAGAGCAGCTCGTCTGACGACAGCTCTGACCCTTACGCAGAGAATCGGTCAGACCTTACACAAAAAAAAGAAAACAGCTCACAAACAAAATCCCAAACCCCTTTAGTGTATTAAGGAGCCCATATCCTGCTTTTCTTCTGCACTTAGTGTTTGAGGTGTCAGTCATAAATAATTTCTACATGAACCTCTCTTTATCTCTTACAGTTACACAGGCTGTTTCTGTTTCTGTGCCTTTAAGACAACTGCTATAGGTGGGGTGGGTGGGGCTAAAGTGCTGTAGGCTGAGTGGGTGGGGCTAAACAGCTGTAGTCAGGTTCATTACACATTGTATAATTGAGAACTGATGTTGTGATGCTCTGTAACAGGTTCTGCTGTACTCTACTGAAGATGTTTGTTTGTTTGTTTGTTTGTTGTTTGTTTGTCCAGGGTGAGCTCCTCTAAGAAGATCAGTAAAGAAACTGTAAAGAAACCAGTGAAGCTGAAGATCCTGCAGCCCAAAGAGAGAAAGAAGCCTGGACCCAAACCCGGCTGGAAGAAGAAGGCAGGACTGTACGAACATTACAGCACTTTTAAAACAAAATATAAATTCAGAGCTATTTTAGCTGATGTCACGAGTTAATCTGGATTTTCATCTCCCTAGAATCAGGATCAGGGCCGTATTACAGAGTCATCCCGAAGGCCTTTACACGCCGAACGCGATTTATTCGTGCAGTTTATTCGGACGACAGTTAATTAATTAATATAAATAACTGACAGTATCGTTCACGCCAAGTGTGATTTTTCGTACGGTGAAAATGTGGCGCTATTTTACTCACCTTCTGTTTGACTGTTGCAAAAAAAAATCACTGACCAATAACGGTCACTTCTGCTGTCGGCATGACGACAACTGAGATGATGGAGCAGCTGCAAACCGGCAAATAGGACTTTTACTCAAACGCTAAAAGGAGCAGAATCTCCAACAGCGGCTCAACCTGAGCTCCAAACCGGACTATGAGCTAACGGCCTTCACTCTGAACTCTGATCTGATTGGTCTCCATCCGTCCGTTTCTATGGTTTTTAGGCAGCTGAGTCAGCAGCATAGTTCTCTACCAGCATAATGAGCTCCATTTATCTCTACTGTAAAACGCTGCTTTCACTGTGAGATGATTTTCTTTTCTAACTCTGCGTTTTAAAGATCTCAGACGCTGCAGACTCGATCTCCACCGCCCCTCTGATCACCTTCGTGTGTTAATGTTGATGATGAAATATTACAGTGATGGTGGTGAATAATGAGGAGGCGGAGCTGAACGTGTGTCTGTTTATTAGGAGGAGTAACGTTAGCGCGCTCAGCTAAAGCGTTTGGGAAATGGAGACTGAAACTGGGGAGCGGCGATGCTCTGATAAACAGCAGGGGGCGCTCTCACAGTATTCACTACTTACAGTTTAGCACACTTTAGCTCTGTTTGACCTTTTTTACATCAGTAACAGCAGCTTAACTCACATTTTAACATTATTTTGATGACGTGTGTGTTTCAGCTGTGTGTATATATATATATGGTTGGTTGCTAGGCAACAGACAGGACAGTTGATTGTTGATTGGATAAGATTACTGTTACTGGTGTAACGCATCAGCTCGTGGACAGAGCGTTTGTAAACCACAGCGTACAGATGTTGTATTTTTATAATGATTCATACTCTAAACTTTAACATATTAGCGTATTAACGTAAAGCACATTTACAGCCTCTCTTTATTTCCGCTGTATTGAAACTGTACTGTACTGATCTGAGTTGTGAACGATCACAGCTCTGTTGTGTTGATTGATCTGCTTGTTGCTGCTGCAGATTGTAATGCTGTGTTTAATGCACCGAAAGCTGAAGTATTGATCTGTATCTGTGTCTCTCAGAGAGGGCGAGGCGGTCGTCTATACCTGCCACCACCAGGGCTGCAGCGCTGTGTACAAGACACGGGACGGCCTGAAGGTCAGCGCTCGCTCACACACACCGTTTAAGAGCAAAGTGTTTCAGTGTGATTTAAAACTCGTCTGTAAAATAAGAACATCCTCCTGATTAAAGATGATTAAACACTTTAAAAGTCTGATAAGAAGTTATAATAATACATAAATAAAAAGGGCCACAGTAACGTTCTACACAGAACCTTATGGAAAAGGGTTCTCTGTAGCACCAGAAAGAAAGAACTGTTACAATGTCCAGTAAGACCAGAGACTGTGTTGTGTGTGATGTAAATTTCAAAGGAAAGTATGAGGGTCTGGTTCTACTGTCTGCACTCCGATAGACGATGTGATGTGGGTTTTCGTAAATCTGACTGAAAGTGTCTGAACTGCACACTGTGCTGAAATTACACTGGACTGAATGGTTTAAGTCTAAAATCAGTTTAGTGGGGTTTCAGTTACTGTGTAATGTATAAACTACAGTGCTGTGGTGTAATTTATACAATTTAATTTAAACAGTTCTGTTCAGGATTTCCAGAGTTTTACCTCCCTGTCTTGAGCTTTTTAAGACTTTGTGAACTTAAAAAAAAACTACTGTATAAAAATTATTATTATTATTAGTGGTAGTAGTCTGTCTTTAACAAAGTGATTTGTATGAACAGAAACACATACGGGAGCATCATGAGGATGTCCGAGAGCGGCCGTGTCCTCATCCGGGCTGCAACAAGGTCTTCATGATCGACCGTTACCTGCAGAGACACATGAAACTCATCCACACAGGTGAGCTCACTCTAACTCGCCCACACTGAGCGAGCGCGCTCTAACACACCCACACGGGCGAGCGCGCTCTAACATCGCCCACACAGGTGAGCGCGCTCTAATTCGCCCACACGGGCGAGCGCGCTCTAACACACCCACACGGGCGAGCGAGCTCACTCTAACTCGCCCACACAGGTGAGCGCGCTCTAACACACCCACACGGGCGAGCGAGCTCGCTCTAACTCGCCCACACAGGTGAGCGCGCTCTAACTCGCCCACACGGGTGAGCTCGCTCTAACTCGCCCACACGGGCGAGCGCGCTCTAACTCGCCCACACGGGCGAGCTCGCTCTAACACGCCCACACGGGCGAGCGCGCTCTAACACGCCCACACGGGCGAGCGCGCTCTAACACGCCCACACGGGCGAGCGCGCTCTAACTCGCCCACACGGGCGAGCTCGCTCTAACTCGCCCACACTGGCGAGCGCGCTCTAACACGCCCACACGGGCGAGCGCGCTCTAACTCGCCCACACGGGTGAGCTCGCTCTAACTCGCCCACACTGGCGAGCGCGCTCTAACACGCCCACACGGGCGAGCGCGCTCTAACACGCCCACACGGGCGAGCGCGCTCTAACTCGCCCACACGGGCGAGCGCGCTCTAACTCGCCCACACGGGTGAGCTCGCTCTAACACGCCCACACGGGCGAGCGCGCTCTAACCGCCCACACGGTGCGAGCGCGCTCTAACACGCCCACACGGGCGAGCGCGCTCTAACTCGCCCACACGGGTGAGCTCGCTCTAACTTGCCCACACTGGCGAGCGCGCTCTAACTTGCCCACACGGGCGAGCGCGCTCTAACACGCCCACACGGGCGAGCGCGCTCTAACACGCCCACACGGGCGAGCGCGCTCTAACACGCCCACACGGGCGAGCTCGCTCTAACACGCCCACACGGGCGAGCGCGCTCTAACACGCCCACACGGGCGAGCGCGCTCTAACACGCCCACACGGGGCGCGCTCTAACTCGCCCACACGGGCGAGCGCGCTCTAACACGCCCACACTGGCGAGCGCGCTCTAACTCGCCCACACTGGCGAGCGCGCTCTAACTCGCCCACACGGGCGAGCGCGCTCTAACACGCCCACACGGGCGAGCGCGCTCTAACACGCCCACACGGGCGAGCGCGCTCTAACACGCCCACACGGGCGAGCGCGTTCTAACACGCCCACACGGGCGAGCGCGTTCTAACACGCCCCACAGGGCGAGCGCGTTCTAACACGCCCACACGGGCGAGCGCGCTCTAACACGCCCACACGGGCGAGCGCGCTCTAACTCGCCCACACGGGCGAGCGCGCTCTAACTCGCCCACACTGGTGATTAAATTTAGTGGTTCAGATTCGTAGATGTGAGTTTTTAGCTTTAAAAGTTGGTGAGGCTGCACCGCGTTTCACCTACACGTGTTTCCTGTTCTTCTCTCCAATCAGAGGTGAGGAACTATGTGTGTGAGCAGTGCGGACAGACGTTTAAGCAGAGGAAGCACCTTCAGGTCCATCAGATGAGGCACTCCGGAGCCAAACCTCTGCAGTGAGTACAGAGACTTCAGTGTCGTCAGTGTGTTTAAAAACTGTAAAAACTAACGCAGTGTTCATGCTGCTGCGTAAACAAATGGGGGTGAGGGGGCGTGGCCAAGCTATAACAGTCCAAGTGAACTCTGGGAAATGTAGGAATCAAGCATTAGAGATTCTTGAATAAAAAAAAAAAAAAGTTTAGCACAAATTTTATGATTTGTGTTCTGAATGTTTTAGAGGGCTGGAAGGTTGATCAGCGCTACGGCCCGGGGCCAGTTTAAAAATGTAAAGCAGGAATCTGATTAACGCCTGACTCTGATTTTCTACACTTACCAGATTATTCAGTGCATGTAAACACATGTAAACAGTGAGAGGTGAGGAAGGCAGATATTGAGCCGAGTAAAAAGAGGGCTCAAAAAATATTAAACGAATTAAACGAGACTCAGTTTGCAGCATGTTGTAATTGTGAAGCCTCATTTTTCAGTGTTTTGATGGTTTGGAGCAGAAAACACTGAACTGAAGTTCCAGAAATGCCCAGAAATGAGCTGATGACGCTGCCCGTCTGCCGCCGCCCGCTCAGCTGTGTAGCTCAGCGTCAGATTCAGTGTTGGCTGGTAGCGTTAGCCGCTTTACCTGTTTTATTTTAACTAAGAGCTCCGTTTGGGTTTAGCTGTAAGTTGTGTTGCCCTCACCGAGCTGACCCTCGCTAAGCTGACCCTCGCTAAGCTGACCCTCAATTACCTGATGGTTTTTTTTTTTACCTGCAGTCAGCAGTTCGACAGCCATGTCAGAGGAGGTGCATGAGGAGCTTTCAGTGAAAGATCCAGAGTTCCCACTGCAAGTGTTAATACTGTGACGTTGAGGTTCTCAGGAGAACCTTAGTTGACTTGAGGTTCTGGTCTGTAACTCGGTTTTACTGAAGAATTCACAGAGAACATAGCAGAACCAAAAGAACAGGCGCGACTCACTGTTACTGACCAAACTGTTTTTTTTTAAGCTAAAAACACAGCCTCCCTTAGCTAGAAGCCCCCACACACACACTCCACCCGTTTTAGTGCTCTTCAAAATAAGTCAACATACAAACGAACTCAGCATAAACAGTTCTCTTTTTTTAATTCAACTACATACAGAAGCGCATAATTAATATTAATAAAAATTAATATTAAATTCTTTAAAGTGTTCTAAGAAGAAGATTAGTCAGCTCTTTGTTGTTTGGACAAATCATTACAGTGTGTTTTCCTCTTTTTCTGCTGGGCCAGGAAAACTCTGATCTACTGGCCGGGAGTAAAACGTTACGCTGGACGCTGCGATATTAAACAGCTTATTAACATTAGATTATTCAACAACATCCTGCTTACCGTGAATTAAGAGCGCTTTCCAGATTAAACGATGCTGCAGTGCTGGTGGGAGTGGACGCCCAGCGTGTTCATGAATTTATGACTATATTTTACAGACGATGTTTTGTTTTTTGTGAAAGCGTCAAAACGGTTTAAACATCTTCCTTTGCACAATTTTGATCATCCCAGGCTGACGGGACAGCAGTGGTCCGGAGCCCAGAGGCCGACAGCGTGACTGGCCCCCGTTAACTGATTATTCGTTCATTAACTTCTACAGTATCAATCAGTCGACGCGAACATCACTAGTAGTGCAGACTGTGATTGTGAGATTGAAAGTCGTGTCCACTTTGCTTCACTGCTGTGTCGTTATTGCTGGTCAATGTTAAACGTTTGTGTTGGTGTGCAGGTGTGAGGTGTGCGGGTTCCAGTGCCGTCAGCGCGCCTCCCTGAAGTACCACATGGTTAAGCACCAGGGGGAGGAGGACCTGGAGTTCGCGTGCGCTCTGTGCAGGAAGCGCTTCGAGAAGGCGCACAACCTGAACGTCCACATGAGCATGGTCCACCCGCTGCTGCAGGGGGGCGGGATCATGCTGCCCGACGACCCTGAACACCCGATCCATCCCGACCCCGCCGACCTTGACGTGAAGGAGGGTGGGATCGCGCTGCCAGCTGACCCCGCTGACCTTGCCGCAGAGGGGGGTGAAGTCACGCTGCCCTCTGGCCCCAACAACCACGACCCTGGTGCAGAAAGGGGCGGAGTCACACTGCCCTCTGACTCTGACAACCACGACCCCGGTGAGGTCGCTGCAGAGGGGGGTGAAGTCACGCTACCGTCTGACCCCGACAACCACGACCATGGCGACGTCTCCACGGAAGGGGGCGAAGTAACGCTGCCGTCTGACCCCGACAACCATGACCCCGGCGATGTCACTGTGGAAGAAGGTGAAGTCACGCTGCCCTCTGACCCTGACTCTGGTGACCTCGCTGCTGAAGGGGGCGAAGTAACGCTGCCTTCTGACCCCGACACCCACGACCCTGGTGACGTTGCTGTGGAAGCAGGTGAAGTCACGCTGCCCTCTGACCCTGACTCTGGTGACCTCGCTACAGAAGGGGGCGAAGTCACGCTGCCCTCTGACCCCGACCCCGACCCCAGCACACAGGAGGATGAGATCGCGAGGCCCTCGGACCCCGACAGCCACGACCCCGGCGAACTCGCGGCGCAGACGAACACCGAGGGGGCCGAGATGAACTGCGAGCTGCCAGCCATCCATAGTGACCTCATACAGCCGGCGCTGTAAAGCACTGCGGCCCGAAATGAGCAGGACGGACTCTTTAAAGGAAGATTCACCTTTTTATTACATTTAATACTTTTTTCAAGTTCTGAGAGTCACATTCAGAGTTCAGAGGCGTTTCTTCAACAACGTTCCTGTTTCGTGATGCAGATGTTGAAACGCAGATGTTTCCCGGACTCAGACTCGTTCCTGCAGACAGAAGAACAGAAACAGTGAACTTTCACCAGAACTTTTTTTTTTAACCCTTAGAAGTGAAAAGTTATTACATTTATTTTGCTATACTGTTCATTCACGTCTGCATGGACGCGGCCAGGCCGACCTTTTTCTGTTTGATGTTAAAAAGTGAAAACACAAAAATGAGGGATTTTTTTTTCCTTTCTGCGAACAGCTGTAAATAACAGCAACGTCTCATCGAATTCATCGTAATAAAATGTCTTCTCTTCTACTTACAGACAGAGTCAGAAATGATTCCTATGAAGGTCCAGTGTGACGATCGCAGTCTGAACAGCAGCTTCTAAGGGTTAAATATGAACTTGCTCCTCCTCTCAGGCTGTTAATCGGCCTGTGTCCCATGTTTTTCTGGCATTTTGTCATTTTTCCACATGTGTAATGTTTATGATCCAAAAGGTCAATTTTCCAGCCTGTTACTGTGCCTGTAAGGCTGTTATATGTAAATTAGATCTGTTCTGATTGGCCACCCTGTATTGCAACAGATTTGAAAAGCAGCCCAGGCTGAAACACTCCTTATAACTTCAGCGTGAGAGGGCGGGGCTAAACTGTTATGGGCTCAATAGAAGGTATATGTAAATTTGTTGTTTTTTTATGATGTCACAAAAACATACAAACTGCATCACGACTCCCCTCCCTAAAAATGGTGAGGAAAATTCAGTTTTCTGTGATACTGGCCCTTTAAGCAGTGAGTGTAAGTGGTCATTTGGGTGTAAATTAGGGCCAAACTGATATAAAATACTGTTATAATCGATATGATACCAATTTTTAGGGGTCAATAATTCATAATATTGGCTGATATAATTTTATATTTGTTTTAAATTTGTTCATTTTTCTAACTGTTTGTAATGAATAAAACTGGGTCATCAGTCTGACCCTGTATCAGTCTGACCCTACTGCAGCAGATCTCTTCCACTCACTGAGATCAAAGATCAAAGCTGAGGTCATCAGGGTGCAGCGTGGACAGTGCAGCGGTCACTTCGGGGTCCAGCTCTGCGCATTCTACCTCCAGCTGGAGAAACAACAGAGTGAAAGTGCATTAGAGCAGCGCAGTGTGGACAAACCAGCAGTGCTGTTACGTATTTGAGTTTTCTGATTGTGATACACCGAATGGTCCATTAAAAACGCTGATTAATCAATAATTAAGACTGTCCTGCTTTCTCTGAACTACAGCATTAGATTAAATGAGTATGTTGTTTCATTAGAACTCCCACACAAACATCCCAGCACACAGTAAATGTCACTGATTGGCTTAGAGAGCTCATTTGCATATTCCAGCCTTCTGTAATGTGTGTTGCAAAGCGACGACTCGGACCGAGCCGACTCTGCAGATCACACTGAACAACAGCGTCAACAGCTGCAGCTTTCAGTCCTGCTCCCGCCCGCAGTCCCGTCTAGGAGAACTACCGTCTGATATCAGACACAGTCTGTTCACAAACACATGATGCTCTGCTGAAATAACAGGTCAGTTGTGGTCATCAGGCTCACTGTGAGTAACTTCACCAAACGCCGTTTACTCACCATTTAAACACAGAGCAGGAATTAAACCACAGAGCGGTTATTCTTGGTGTTCTGCTGGGCAGCTGTGGCCGTCAGACTGAAGGCTCTGCCTCTGTGAGCTCAGAGAATCTGTGTTGTTCGAATGAACGACTTCATTCATTTTAACTGTTTTACTATTTTTGTTATTATATATATTGTTTATATATGATTTAGTGATCGTTCTACTTTGTTTAGGCTGTTCATTTATTTTGCGGCTTCGTCCTGTTCCCACCTACTGTGGTGGGTCCTGCGGGACCAGCAGCAGTTCAGACCTGTAATCAGCAGCAGGACCGTCACTATTGATTTGATTAATAATAAAGAAATCTATAGATTATTAACTGAGGTTAAAGACAAATCAGCGTAGACTTCTCTGAACAGTAATAACTTAAAATAGATTCTAAGATGGGTAAATGGATTAATATAATGTATATATTTATATATATACACGCAAGTTAATGGAACGAGGTTGTATTCTAACTGGATCATTTCTATTCGTCCATGTATCATGAAATTCTGACACATGGCAGCAGCTGGTATTTTCCAATTATGTAAAATAATATGAATGACAAAACTGTGTGTATACACACATATATACACTGTACTGATCAGAAGTCAGACTTTTTTGAGAACTATGAAGTTGTTTATCTGGACAGTAAGCTAACAGACTGAATACAAATGAAAACCCACTGTGACTGTTTCCAAATCGCTCCTGGAGGAAGTCCAGCATTTACAGTGACCATCTAAAACTGCTTTATCTAATCAATACTTCATTACATTAAATCAGCTGAAGGAACTGATCAAATCCATGTGATGTGTAAAGTCAGAACCTGTGTCCATCTGACCTACATATTCATAACGTTACTGAAAACAGCACAGTCTGATTAATGATTACTGCACTGATGTTTATTTAAATGCAGTTTAAGTCTATTTTATTTATTCTGATGTTATTTTGTGTTTTACAGCCAAAAACGCACTTAAAACCCCAGATAAACAGGTTTAAACCGTTTTCTCAGCAGTGCTTTGCTTCTGATTTCAGTGTCTCAGTGCTGAGTTTAATCAGACAGATCTTAATGTGTTTCCACAGAACTGAAACTTTCCAACTACAATAAACCGTTAACAGGAATCTGTGCGTCTGAGTGGAAACTGTGACGGAGCCGGTTCTGTTAAAGAGCCCAGAGCTCACATTTCACACCTCGTTACTTTCCTCTGAGCTGAACTTATAATGCCTGTGTGCCAAAACTGTCATAATCTGCTGTAGGCTGAATGGGCGGGGCTAAACCGCTGTAGACTGAATGGGCGGGGCTAAACCGCTGTAGACTGAATGGGCGGGGCAACATTTCCACATTGTGAGAGTGAGAGAGAATCAGGTGAGAGTACCTGGCTGCGCTGGCTGAGAGTGAGGGCGCTGTGGGGACTCAGACGAACACTCTTCAGAACGATCTGCTGAGCTTTAGACAGAACCTGAAACAGAAACAAACACAGTTTACAGTCACATTTACAGTCAGTTACTCAATTTACATTATATTTATTTTGTAAAATGACAAAAACTGAGTCTGTTCTACAGTTTCTCATTAGGCTGAATGAATAACTGACTCTAAATGTAGGTATTGTGATATAAACTGAGTCTGCTCTACAGTTTCTCATTAGGCTGAATGAATAACTGACTCTAAATGTAGGTATTGTGATATAAACTGAGTCTGTTCTACAGTTTCTCATTAGGCTGAATGAATAACCGACTCTAAATGTAGGTATTGTGATATAAACTGAGTCTGTTCTACAGTTTCTCATTAGGCTGAATGAATAACTGACTCTAAATGTAGGTATTGTGATATAAACCGAGTCTGTTCTACAGTTTCTCATTAGGCTGAATGAATAACCGACTCTAAATGTAGGTATTGTGATATAAACCGAGTCTGTTCTACAGTTTCTCATTAGGCTGAATGAATAACCGACTCTAAATGTAGGTATTGTGATATAAACTGAGTCTGTTCTACAGTTTCTCATTAGGCTGAATGAATAACTGACTCTAAATGTAGGTATTGTGATATAAACTGAGTCTGTTCTACAGTTTCTCATTAGGCTGAATGAATAACCGACTCTAAATGTAGGTATTGTGATATAAACTGAGTCTGTTCTACAGTTTCTCATTAGGCTGAATGAATAACCGACTCTAAATGTAGGTATTGTGATATAAACTGAGTCTGTTCTACAGTTTCTCATTAGGCTGAATTTGTGGGAGGAGCATGAAATAATCTCAGCAGTGCCACACCTGCAGGTGGCACTGTGGTGGTGAGTACCTGCTGTGGAGTCTCAGAGCTGACGGCTGCAGTGTGTCCATGCAGGAACAGCTTCAGCAGGGCAGCGTATGACATCACCGCTGTGTACAGGAAACCAGGAGCCTTCGCCGCTCGCATCATCACACACTCATCTACACCTGACAACACACTACACACACACACACACACACACACACACACAGTAAATATCAGCAGCAGTAACACTAACCAATCATCGCCCTCTAGTGTTTGGTCAGGTTTTGTATAACGGACGGCGCCACCTGCTGCCTCACCTGTAGAAGGCGAAGGGCATCAGACGGATGTTGGCGTCCGTGGTCACCATGGAGACGCAGCGGTAGGTGCTCTGCTCTGTGGAGATACAGAGCCGTGACTCACGACTGTGTGACCAGCTGTGTTTATGTACAGTGTGTGGACAAAACTGACCTTCGTTCCAGACGCTGGGCTCCGTACCGGATCCTGATTGGTGGAAAAGTGACAGCCAATCAGAAGAGTCCGCCAGCAGAGTCAGGAGGTGGACGCTGAGGTCTTTAGCGCGATTCACACTCTTCTCACCCTGAAACACAACAAATACACACAAACACCCCGTAAATCCCTCAGTAACACCCAAACACTGAGCCGGCGATACGGTGATGACATCAGACATCGTTAATTAGGAACAAGAGACACATAGAACGACACATACATACACTGAGACCCTGGAGTTTATGTTTAAGAAAGAGAGAGACAGAGAGAGAGAGAGAATACAGAGAGAGAGAGAGAGAGAGAGAGAATACAGAGGGAGAGAGAATACAGAGAGAGAGAGAGAGAGAGAGAGACAGAGAGAGAGAGAATACAGAGAGAGAGAGAGAGAGAGAGAGAGAGAGAGAGAGAGAATAGAGAGAGAGAGGTTTGTTAGAAGCTGTTATCTCTCTCCGCTGCGCTCTGTAAGACTAGCTTTACTGTTCGACTCTTCACTTCTACTTACTTTACTTTACGTTAAGTTTGAGTGAACGGAACCAAAAATAAATCGTCGTGTTTTAGAACTTCTAGAGCTTCAGTTTGAGTTGCTGCAGTAAAAAACGAGCTGAAGTGACGGATATCTAGAACAGCTGGCTCTAACTGGAGAGAAATAATATTAAATATGTCCACAGCTGAAATGTCCAGCTGAGTAGCTGAACTATGAAAACGTCTCTGTAATGATGGAAAAACGTCTTGTGTTTGTTTTCATTTTTAAAGGCTTTAGAAATTACTTAGTTTCTCCAGCAGGGAGCGCTGTTAGCATGCAAATGATTACGTATCCACACCA